ACATATAACTGATAGGAACTGCTAGATGATTATAAGGAAATAAAGGAGAAGACAGTGACAGATAATCCAGGTTTCTGATGTGGTTTGCTGGGTATATATTGGTGACATTCAACTACAGATCCACAAACATACTGTAGAGGAAGAAGCTGAGGCATTTGGTTTTAAACATACAAGGTTACTTCAAAAAGTTTGTGGGTAAGTAGAATTAAAAGATAATATGAATCTTTCCATGAGCTTTTTGAAATACCCTCGTATTTAAGTTAATGTAAGGCATTTAGGTAAAATCATCTACAATATATTAGATACAACACAGAGAATTCAAAGTCAACATTCTTAGAATATCTGATAAACATAAATATTTATGCAATTAGGTTCTTATTGAATCACACTGGCAATGACAAAGGGATATCAATCATGAGTTACAGATAATGGAGTTTAATAAATAACTTGGAAAGTATAAAGTAATTCAAATCAGAATTAAGTAAATTAAAAACAAATTTCCATCACTACCTCAGCTGCTTTGCCATTGTAAAGGCGAAAATGATTACAGGCCTTAAGATTGAGTGCGATGGTACTATCAGGAATTTGCTGAAGGTAAACAGCCAGAACTTCTTGAGACACATCATAATAATCCAGCTTGTAGTAGCAGAGGGCCACATAAACATTGAGGGCAAGGTATTCCCTATTAGATGAAAGAATTAAGGGTTAACAATTTGTCTACTTTATAGAAATGTTGTCAAACTACAAAGCTCAAATGGACAAGGCAAAGAGGACAGTTCATGAATTTGCCTTGTGAAAAAAGGCAAGATATAATCAGTGAATTTTTTTCTTTTTGCATTTTAATATTTGAGAGTTTTGATATAAGTAGAGTAAAAGATGACAACCAGATAAGGAAAAAGTTCATGCTGTTCATACTGAAAAACTAACATACACTAATAATTGAGCATAAACACAAATATGCACACACCACACAGAGGATGAACAGACAAAGCAAGGAGGTTTGATTGACTGCAAATGGGAATAGGTGGGAGACTGGGAAGGCAATGCAAAACAGGGGAGAAGGAAGGTGGATGACATATTTGGGGGATGGGAGAGAGAGGCCAAGTGTTCAGTAATAAAGTTGGAATGTTAATTCTTCAGAATGGTTGATTTCTAATTTTGTGAGCAAGTTACCTATGATGTAACTACAACACTGAGATAATATGTCTAGACCATGCATTTTCAACAGGGATATCATCACCCCCC